GGAACTTCTATCGGGGCCCAATTATCGCAAATTATGTTTGGCAAAATATTCGTCGCTGCGTCATTGAATATTAATGGTCGAACATGCGATAAGTGATATTTGAATCAAATTTGATGACATATAATCAGGAGATTTCACTTCGAATATGAAAGCATCAGCTTTTCTTTCTTGCGATAAATTAATATACATATATTTACACGTTTCGTAATTTTAAAATATTTTTAAACGTATCTAAATATAATATGCAAAATAAATATGTAAAAGTAAGTTCCAATCGTGAGCAATTTATGTGTATGAGATGAAAACATTTTTGTATTTAGACGGAAATACTCTTCTTTCTTCCATTTCTAGATATATGATACTTACACCTTAACGAGATATCTAATTCGATCGCAAAAATCGGCGCAACACACGTGTTCAGACAATACACACATCAACCATGACGCGAGTACCATATGGTAACTCTATCCGCGCCGTCGAGATCTACGGATCCCTTTTGACAAATTCGGTGAATCCTCCTACAGTCTCCTTCATCCATAATGTAATTCGAGACGGTAACTACTCCGGGCTTCGTAGAAAGATTATATATTCTCTCCGGGAAAAGTCTATAACCGCGCGAAGGAATTTCTCCCAGCCAGATCCTCACGGCTATTACTCAAGCGGATATGATTTACTAATAGGGCCGAGGAAATTAAACAGCGCGTTAGGTAAGAGTCTAGTCTATGAAGCGCGTCAAAGATCCTCACCTGCGAGCATCATAATGAGTTCCGACAATGGATCGGTCGCCTTTCGCGCAACACGTATCGCAATTACTATCCCCGACATTATATTACAATTAATGGAACGAAAAAAAAAAAGAAGAGCTGCAACCGCGTACGATACAGTGGCATGTAACGACATCCGCTGGGAACGGCATACGAGCTATCGAGCAATAACAAATGTTGACAAGGAAGACATCTTCCAGGGTAATCTAGATCGGGCAAGGTGTGGCCGACGTTAATAGAAATAGATGGAGATGCGTGCAGCGACTGCCGAAGAACTACATCGGCCGTGGCTATTAAGTTCATACTTCAGTGCACACCGCGCAATTCCACCACTTTGATATTCAGGACGTCGCGTGGATCTCGTGAAATTGCAAAATTACACAGCGGGGAGGAAGATGAGTTTTCTAAATGCACAGATCGTGACGACCAACGAGCATCGGTCGCGGCCATCAGATTTCTGCTAAATTAGCTGGGGAATAGGGAATTTCTCCCTATCTCTCCCGGCTTCCTTTTAACAGTTAACGCCACACTCTTCCGCTACGAGTGGAGATTGGACGAAGTCATTTCTGAGGCTACTGTGTCAAGATAACACCAGTGATTTTCTTTCTCGGCGAAATGGATCGTCAATCACATTGTAAATTACAGATTATTAAAAATTATAAATATCTACATATGTGCGGTCAAAAATTTAGTGTTTTTACATATTTCAATAATTCCCAAAATTCACAATTACTGCGAACACGGAAAGAGCACATTTGTTTTTGTCTGAAATACCAGTTTACATGTAAGAACAGTTATTTATCACGATCCAACGGACTACATGATATATATGATTTTTAATGCGCACTAATAAGTAGTCGTGCTCGAAAATATTACAGCTCGGACTCTAACCCTGATATTTCGAGGCTGCATGTTGCCATGATTTCCTGCCGTTCGTTTCTATAGAGTAACTGATCTGATATCTTAATGACGCTTGGCGTTACAAATCTCCTAACATATAACGTCGTTTCTATATCTGTCAGATCTATACTTTATGCAGGTAGACTTTATATAAGTACACAAAAATGGAACGTTATTTCTGTTACAATGACAATAAGGGAGCTGCCACGCTACGCGCGGTTCAATCGCGGATATATCGATGTCGCGGCGAAATATCGTAATGTATCGAATCTTAAGGGGGACACATCGGGATGATAACGTGACTCGGGCGTAGAAATGTCGAGACGACGCTTTGTTGTGACTTCAAGTGGGCGGACGGTGCGAGGGTATCAACGTAAACGTCGATTTCTCGGTTATTGCCGCGCATTGTGGACAATCCCCTAGCAGGTGGAAATAAAGCATCAGGCTGAGAGAGAGCTCGTCGCGGAGACACGATGGTCGAGCGTCGAGCAGGCGGAAAGTGGAGGAGGTAAATCGAAAAAGGAGAGGCCAGATGAGCAACCGTCTACACTCGAGTGTTACGGTGACGCCGCGGGCGGCGGAGTGCAATAATGTGATATTGGAAGAGTTGGAACCAGCGGAGTTAATAAAAGCGGAGAGGGCGGGAGACCGGCTATAGATGACCGTGCGATTAATCTGGCTGCTCTCGCGCCACGGCACGGCACGGCGCGGTGCAGTGCTATCAATAAATAGATCGGCGCTCTTTAGGGAGATCAGGGAGATGAGATACGCGACTCTTCCAGACGAAGCCGTTAAGGAGAGAATAAGACGCCGGAATTCGACGCGAACGCTCTCCGCGGATGTTCTACTCACGCAGCTCGGAAAGATATGACGGGAGAAGGGTGGTCGCTACCTCCTAATTACTCGCCCTTTTAAAATGAAACGAAGTAATTAAAGTTGGAGGCAAGGGAAGAAACGCCGCTCTCTCTCCGAGAGATTACCTCTCGCGCGCTCAATGAAGACTCTCTCGCGACGCGACCACCACCAGCCGTCGCCGAAACGCAGCGCGATGGGCCACGAAAAAAATAAAACGAACGTACCGACAAAATCGAGGTCCCGGTGCAAATTTGTTAATGGAACTGTCACTCGCAGGTAAATCCCGTGCTGAACTTTCCATCTCGAGACTGAAAGCTGTCCCAAGTAATTTATCGCCAGACGTTGCGGATTCTTATCAATTATGTGAAGTAAAGTCTGAAGTTCCGCACAAATTTGGACAATATAATAAAAATATATTAAAAACTATTTGATAATAATTGCTGCGGGTTTGGTGTAAGTCGATGATGATTTGGATAATTTTCTAATTAATATAATCATTATCGAAATGTAAAAGAATTACCATAAAATACGCTTGTAAGTTTATAATATTATACATCTATGCGTAATAATTTCTTTTATAAAATGATTGTAATATGATAATATGTTCCTCAATGTCACGATGTAACCAAGCTCGCGAAGAGCGTGAGAATCCCACAGCGAATTGTGCGTAAGCGCGCGTAAGAGTGCGTGCCCACGCCTTGAATGCCTCAATCACTGCGGGCTGATTGTGCGTATCCAGCCGCGTCACGTCCCCCTTTTGTGCGTACAAAAGTGGACGCGTGCTTAGGTGTGTCGGTGTGTGCGTGGCTTGAATGAGAGCGTTTAAAAGAGGGCCGAAATTGTCTCGAGACACCGACAGTGCATGAAAAAGAATGTGAAGAAGAAGAGAGAGGGAACGAGTCGATACGAGAAGGTGAAGATCTCATGGTATTATGTGTCATACAAATAGCAACTTCTTTTCTTGCAATGCAATTTGTAATTTATATGCTTATTGCTTATAAGTGAAAAATGAAAATATAACAAATATTGTATTTTAAATATTTTAATAACTATTATTTACTTATATACTATGTGTTCTACTTTGCGGTATCATTATTAGAATATTTTAAATTGTTTAGACCGTAAATATACATATATATGTTTGTAACAAGAAATATTATTAGTTCGCGAATTTCATTTGTATTGATATTGTTATTGTTACTCATGGAAGATATAGATAAGAAAATATCCTTATTGAGGAAAACAATATTCGCATTCAGTGAACCGCGAGCGACAATTGGTAAATAATTCCCAGCGAAGCACCGTTTCATTCGCGCATTTTCGCCGGTCGGTCGAGTTTTCATTTTGTTCATTGCAATTTTGTTAATCATCCTTCGTTCTGCGGTACAAGACAATTTAGATCGCGTTTCCTTCTCATGAATATCGGTACTCGCACGCAGTTCGGCTGGAAACAAGGACGGAAGTTGGAGTTGCGGGTAATTGAATTGCTCGCTTTAGAAAGGACCTCTCGTCGCCAAGCAGCAACTTTAGGGCAACACGAGAAAACTGTTTGCTCACTCTCTGTTGTATGTATCAACAATGTACGTGTACACCACTTCGCAGCTAGAATATGTTCGTGAACAAGCATGTACCTGATACATAGATAAGAGGGCCTGCATGCAGGCGCATTGTTAACGGAAGACTTTTGTTTCGAAAGACATGAGACAATAGAAGCACCAAAGCGTACCTATTTGATACGCTAATTACCACTTTGCCAAACTGTCTACGCGTACTTCAGAGAATTAAAAAATATGATTACAAATGCCACAATAATTAAGAACCTACGACTTAAAAAACCATATATGCATATTTTACCAAAATAAAATACTTAAAAGATGTAGATATAATGATATAAAATATTTAAAATGTATTTATTTTCCCCTCTCCCTCTCTCTCTTTCTTTGCAATTGTTACAAATAGCATTTGTATATTTTTGTTATAAAGTGAATTGGGGTATTGTATGCTATAAAGAGAACATACATCGCAATAATAAATATTCTTATACTAATTAAGTCTCAAGTATAATCTTGTTCATTCTATTAACAGAAATTGTACTTGCATATCTAATCAACGCGTGCGCGCGCGCCTGCCTCATATAGAGTTTAATAGTAAACATTAACGTCACTAATTGTAAGTAATGGTCGAATGCACAAAACATCGCACATTTTAGTTCTGGTAAAAATCCCAGCCAGAGATGAGATAACGTCACACGTGATCACGATATGGCCGGCGCGGCCACTTGTCACAATTTCTGAAAATGAATTAAACCGTCATTTACGACACCTGCAGCCTTGGAATTATACGACTTCCTTATTTCTCGCGCTGCGTCAACTTTCACGGGCGTTTAACACGCACACGCGCGTCACTGATATCGTGGCAACGGTGTGCGTGCGCGCGCGCTCGAGCAAATGAGTACATGAAAGATTATTGTTATTATTCCAGCCAATACAAGTCGGACGCGCAATACTCGCTCGCGGACATCTCAATCATTCATGTACACGTCCTGGAGTACGGAGGCGTCGAAATTGCCTCACAGTTGGGGGAAGAAGAGGAAGACGAAGGAGACGGAGCAGGGAGAGCGGTATCCACAGCGTCGTTCATTACCAATTTGTTCCATCCTGTTGTCGAAATTGTTCGTTACGCGCTTCCAAAGCGACAAGTATGTCCTCCACGTCGCGCTGTGAAAGAGGAATTCCTCTCTCGAGTGGTCGATGTTTGTACTTCGTTTTCGGTTTCCATTCGCGCGCGTGATCGTTAACATTTTTAAGTAAGTGTCAGATAGGACTTTAAGTAGCGACTAAATCACGTGGTATGGCGAAAATGATGTTTGTTATTTGACAACACTAAAAATATTTTAGTTGACTTTAAAGTAGTGTTATCACTGTGTATATAATTGATAGTTGTGGATTAGTATAAGTCAATAGAATAAATCACAAAATTCTGCAAGGTCCTATTCTGGTAAAAAAATTATTGATTATAGAGTTATAACTGCGATAAAAATTCGATAACAAGAACGTTCCAGTTCTCACAGTATTACACGTATAATACCAAAGTAACGATCTCACGATGAAACATTCATCTAATCATGCAAAACTGGCGGACCTAATGCCCTGGAATCGAGACATCGAATATGCAAGACGGGGGAATCCGAGCACCTAGACTGTCAGGGGAAGAGAAAGGGGAGGAAGATCGAGGGGGGGGGGGTGAAAGCCGCGGTAGAAAGGCTTTTCCCGGAGGTTAGCATCGCAATCTCCATCGCACGATTGGTGTTTCCACTTCAGTGGCGTGCACCATCACCGTGATAAGAAATGCAAGCCGTCTACACCGACGTGCAAGACGCAGTCGTTGGTCGAAAGTGCTTTCCGAGAGATTGGTAGTCGGTGGGTGGTGGTGGAGCCGGATTAAAAATTCGAGGGCGTGGAGTACGGCGGACGACGTCGCTCATGCTTTAGAGGCGAATCCGCGGGTCGATAATAGTTTCGAGTGGTTGCTGACCATTATGGGTCCCCCGCCGCGTACCAAATGAGCATTCCTTCTCGTAATTGGAGCACAGGGGGATACACTGTACCAACGAATGGCTCGGGGGAGGGACCGTGGAGCTTGAGGGATAGACAGGGAGGAAAACGAGGGATCCCAAAAGCACTCTTGGTCCGTCTGAGTGCTGCGGGAGGTTGAGGATAACGCGGGCGAGGAGACAGGGAAAGCGCCAGCTTCTGTCGGACCTCGGCAGAAGCGTCTCCGCGCTTCGGTGAACGGATGACCATTGTCGTCTGGGGGGGTTAACGCGTCTTTCATGAGAGTACCGCGGCAATGACGGAGATTCCGTTGTGCATAAGTGCACGGTCGGAAGTTACACGTGGATTTCGGAGTAACTGGAGTTTGCGAGACCGAGTTGATGCCGAACATACTGTCTCTATTGTGCATGGACTAACGTTGGGCTTACTACGTCTCGCAGAATAATTACGGAATGTCGATTTAAGGATTTGGTTGTTGAAAATTTCATTTAAATCAATTTCTATATAAAACGTAACTTTAGTAGATTATTGCATTCGCAAAAAGATTATTAATTTACTTGTTACAAAATGTAACGGAAAAAAATACTAATAAGAAAATATCATATTGTTACAAAAATGCAAAATTAAATAAGAAATCAGTTTATCAATATAGAATAGCAACTAAAATTATGCACATGCCGAAGAAAGATCACGTTGCGACTATGAAGTCTATGAATAATCTTCGTATAAATATCGCATGGCGCGGTAAATGTTAGCAGGGTATTTAGTAAGTTTATTTTGCACATCGCAAATATCTAAAGTAAATCTCAACGCTGACAAAGAACGATCGGTAATAATCGTCGGACAGAAAATCTACAAACAGCGAGTAAATGGATTCACGCCATTCGGCCGTGCTAACGAGATGTGCGAAAGTAAAACGAGGTAGCAACGATCGTTCGGACGCATTAGTCAAAGAAAAGGTGCGTTGATGCGTCGGTGTGTCGTCATGCGACGGCAGCAGGCAGCCTTGCAAACAAGAAAGGTGAGTAAAGAGCAAAGAGCACCCGAGACTGCGTGTACAAGCTACATAATGGGCTCCATCTTCAAGACGTACGCACGCACACGGTCCTCCGTATGTCGTCTGCCATAGAGAACGTCTCTCTGAAGTCCTAGGCTGAAAATTTTATGCACGGGAGTAGAAGCCCTACTACTCTCATCCATGTATAATGTACAATGACGAAGCACTACAGTTCCTTCATAATATGCCATTTTCTAGATTGATGGACGAATTTCGCCGCTCTTAACTTTGAGGCTTCTGCTTGTAGAAATCAAGATTGTTACTAAATTGTCTAAGTTCGACTGAATTGTCTAAGTTCCTCTTAATATATTTCATTGGTAGTTGAACTTATTTATTTTTAAAATGATGAAATAACAGATTTATAAAATTATTTATTTGAAAAAAATAATAGAATGCAAACGTCGGGTTAATCACGGAAAATTAATGATCGACAATAAATGAAATTTTATAATTTGAGAGTCGTCAACAAGAAATAAATGTTCGTACGTGAAGAAGGGAAGATATCTCTGCAAGGTATCTGTCGACACAATCCTCTACAAAATATAACCGTAAGGAACCAAGGAATTCTGCTCGTTCGTTTTTACGACTCATGCTTGCATCTAGCAGTCCGGAGGAAGTGGAAGCAGCATGACCAACTAGAACGATGACTCCGTAGTCTCCCAGAAAAACGACGAGTTAAGACTTTGACGCCGCGAAGGGGAAGGTGTTGAAGGTGAAGAAAGTGAGCTTATGGAAGCGCGGACTATGCTTGTAGGGAATAATGCGCGGAGTTATATGTATATACGTGTCGGCATAGTAAAGCTTCACCGTTCGCAGGACCTCACACGCCGCGCCGCAGTGGCTGAGGTCCGAGGAGGATCGAGCAGGTCCAGACGATCGTAACTCACGCGAGGAGTGGATCGTTTTGCAGAAACAAACAACGTTGACTGTGTTTGCCGCTCGGCGACAAGCGTTCCGTTGTCGCCAAGAGGGAGGAAAACGGGTTTTGTTTGATCTGTGCCAGTCTTCGCGAACGTGTCTTTTAGCCCACCGCGAACATTAGCTGTCCGTCACACCTTTTTAGAGTCCTGCGAGCAGTATATCGTTACTTAATAACTATTTAAAGAAAGAGTCCTTCTATAAAAACTGTCCTCCGTCACTGGGTTTTTACTCAACGTATATTTAATGTGTGCGATATTTTGTAGATACAATACTTAATTTTTGGGTTAATTAAACGTGAATTTTTATATAATAATGTAATGTGAATAGAGTATGTTTTCGAAAAACAAATTATACAATTTATAGTATGTGCTCACTTTCATAATAATTTTTAAAACAAAAGAATGTAACAATTTTTTCAGAAATATTTATATGCATATCGTATACGAGAAATAGAGAAAGAAGTAATTAATAATTATGAAACTTTGTGGCTCATGATTACTAATTACTAAAAAAATAATATGTGTGAAGAAATATAAATGTGTGTGTGATATATATATATATATATATATATATATATATATATATATATATAT